TATGTACATGTAAATATACACATTTAAAATAAAATATTATCAATGCTCAGGCTATATAAGGCTGAAATTTAAATTTCTTATGCTTAGTAAATTTTATAAAAAAGGCACACACAAAAAAATGAGATATATACATACTGCTAGCTGCCATTTGTACAATAACATCAGATGGTGATATGCAACTAAACATAACTATAGTTTGATATCATTTAAAAGGGTGAGAAGACACAAGTGGATTTTGTTTCAGTAATTTACACTAGCATGGCTGCACATCATAATACAAGTAGCCATACAAAGAGAGAGATTGCTCAGTGAAAGAGAGGGTGCTTATTCCTTGTTGGTCAATATTCAATCCTCTTGTGTGCTCGTCCAGCCCTGGCGTACACCACTGAGGACAGAGTCGAGGATGGAGTTGTATAACTTGTTCACGGGAGGTTTGCTCGCTGCCATAATCACTTGAGCCTCTCCTCCTGCTTTTCTTTACCGCGCTAGAAGAGGAGATAAGGACCTCAACAGATCAGGAACAAACTAGTGAGGCTAGCAACACGGGAGGAGAAGGAGTATAGGAGATAAGGAGGTGCACTTTAATTAGAACACCATAACTTCTCTTTCTGTTAAAATGTATTCTACACCCCCCTGATAATTTTAACATCTTTAATTATGTAAACTTCAGTGACACCTCCACAAGAACTGCTGGTCAGGGCAAACTAAAGTATGTCTACAAACGTCTATCTAGCACTAGACACTTCTATTTCAACAGAGTCGTTCGTTTGTGGAACAGTCTTCCTTTTCTCAATCTCTCTCTCTCCTTTAATTCTCTCAAATATATCATTTACAATCACTTGTGGAATCAATTTCTAATTAATTTTGATAATGCTAATTTATGTACCTATCATTATGTCTGTCCTTGTGGAAATTGTCATTTAATTCATAACTACTAACTCTAATTATTTAATGGTTGCTGTACAAGTTGCAGCCAGCCTTTAACTGTTCTATTGACATTGTTCTATAGTTTATGTCCTATGTTTTACAGTTAAGAAATCCTTTATTATTATTATTATTATTATTATTACTTTTAATAACAGAGTTTAATATAATTTATAACTATCTCCGCCTTTATTAAGGTTAT